CCCAGGCTCAGCACCCCGAGACTCAGCACCCCCAGGCTCAACACCCCCAGACTCAGCTCCCCCAGGCTCAGCACCCCTAGCAGCACCAGAGTCAACAGCTACCTCGACAGGCTCGTCTGCGTCTACCTGGGACACACCTGACGGGGCAGGACCCTGAGGGGGGAGAGGGTCTACCGGGGGGGGACCTGGCGCAAGGAAGAGCGGCGGTGGGGGGAGGGGCGCAGTGCGGTAGGGGAAGAGACGGTAGTAAGGAACCGACTCGTCAAAGGTGACGTCCTGGGAGGACAGAACACGGCGCGAGGTGGGGTGGTAAAACTGCCAACCAGGCGCTTCAGGAGGGAAGCCAAGGAAGACGCAGGGAACAGCACGGGGGGACAGCTTGTCCGCAGACAAGTCGCGGACAAACGCCCGAGATCCCCAGACGCGAAACGCAGACGCATCGCCAACCTTCCCCGTCCACCGCAAGGTGGGGGAGGTCTCCGGCAAGGAGACCCGGGGCTGAAGGTTGATCTGATGCGCCGCGTACCAAACCGCAAACGGCCACAGAAAATGGGGAGCAGCCGCATGGATCATGGACGTACGAGCGACGTCCATGACCATGCCAATGCGGCGCTCAGCAATCCCATTTTGCTGTGGAAAGGCCGGAAGCGTGAACGTCTGGCGGATGCCCTGTGCATGACAGAAGGCTCCCAGAAGGGCAGAGGAAAACTCCCCGCCTCTGTCAGAGTGCAGACGCAGAACAGGAAAGTCTGAGCCGAAACTCTCTCTGAGCTGGAGACGAGCTGCGCGGATCTAGCCGATCAACACCTCAGTGACCTCACCCTTGCTGCGCAAGGGGAAGACTGTGGTGTAACGCGAGTAGTCGTCAACCACCAGCAGGAAGTAACGCTCGTGACCCTGTCCACGGACGCGGGCTGGGCCCCACACGTCCATGTGAAGCGTCTGCAGCGGAGCCTCTGTCGGAGGAAACTCAGAGGAGTGAGGAGCAGCACGCTGCCTCCCCTCGACGCAGGGAACGCAGGTAGGGGCAGGCCCCGGAGGAAAAGGAGGGAGGGACCGGGGGAGACCAGAGACAAGGACACGGGAGGCCATGCCTCGGAGACGAGGCAGCGAGGGGTGGCCAAGGCGGTGGTGCCAGAGGAGAGTCTGGTGAGACAGGAGACGACACGAGCAGGGGGCACACGCAGGACCAGACCTGGACGCCGTAGCAGACACCTGACCCGACGCAGCTACCTGACCAGACGCAGAGACCGGAGGAGACTCAGTAGTCAGTGTGTACAGGCTTGACCCCGGTCGACGGGTAAACGTGGCCAAGTGTCGGCCCGTCCGAGCACACGTGCAGTGGGTCACTCGCTGACTCGCAGGAGTGAACTGGTCAACCCCCCCATCCTGTAGGTCAGCACCACTCACCAAGTTCGTAGAGAACGAGGGGAGGTAGAGACCTGACAGGGTGCCAGAAGGGGCCGCCGGACACGGTAAGACAGTGGAGAAGTGGGCAAGGACAGGATCCCTAGAGGGGTCTGCCAGGGAGACCGCAACTGGCCGACTAAGCGGCGTGAGTGTGGTGCGGTCTCGAAAGAAGGAGCGGGAAGCATCCGAGTCAAGGGTGAAGGTGTGGGAGGCCTGAGCCGACGTGGTACCTGAGAGAGCAGACTCACCAGCACCTGGGGTAGCAGACTCTCTAGCACCTAGAGCAGCAGCCTCACCAGCACCTAGAGCAGCAGTCCCAATGCCCGGGTCAGGCGGAACACACAGGTAACAGTCACCCTCATCACTAGCAGACACAGCATACATGGCAGCAAGAATAGCATCATAATCAAGATCAAAGATAGCAACCCCCGACCGCTGCAGCTCTCCCCAGCGAGGGATCTCAGTGGCGTCAGCGAACTGGAGACGCCAGACGTCCGTCAGGCGGCCGAAGCAGCGCTGGGTGGGGTGCGGGCCCTCGCACTGCTCACCCGTACGGTCGCCGGTACGCAGGACGTAGGTACAGGGACCAGCACCCCCACCCCGCTGACGCGAAGCGTACCACTCACGAAGCTGCTGGGGGGACGGGGTCTCACGAGTGCGCTGCTGCTGCTGGCGCTGACCACCACCGGAGCCGCCCCTCTGCGCAGAGCCACCCCGACCAGTCCCACCGCTGCCGCCGCCACCTCCACCGCCGCCGCCACCTCCGCCTCCTCCGCTCCCACCACCACCGCCGCCGCCTCCTCCGCCTCCACTGCCGCCACCGACGCCCCCACCCCCGCCACCACTCCCACCACCACCCCCACCCCCTCCACTGCCTCCACCGCCACCTCCACCGCCCCCGCCAGCTCCTCCAGCACCCTTGCCCCCTTTGCCCTTGCCGGTGCGGCGTCTCCCGCTAGGGGCAGACGCAGCTCCGACCGACTCGAGGCCAACGAGGTCGGCCGCAGCAGCAGAGGCAACAGAGGGCAGGAGGGGGGAGGGGGAACACCCCTCAAAGAAGGGAGTACGAGGGTCACCACGAGAGGCTCCTACAGCGACTATGCTCTTCTCAGCTGCCAGGAGGCGCTCCTCGAGGAGGTCAACGGTGAGTGTGGTGGGGCAAACAGAGAGGAAGTGGTCCCTGACCGAGCGAAGGGAGTCAGGGAGCCGGGTGACTATGTAGTAGAGGGTGATGTACATGGGGGGGGGGTTCTTGGCGCAGAACTCAGCAGGGAGCGCAGCGCGGTAGCGAGTGTCACTAGTGCAAAGGTGCGTAACTAGGTCAGCGACTGTGGAAAAGGCGGCGAGGTCAGGGAACAGGTACGGCAGCATGAGGCGACTAAGAGCAGCAGTGGCAGGGGAAGAGTAGCGTGCAACTACAGCGTCGTACAGGGTCTTAGCGCTCTTATACTGACCAAAGTGCGCGCGCTCAGAGGATGGCAAGTGACTACGAACAGCAAGACGGGCAGCAGCATCACGTGTGGCCCACTGTGAGCGAACAGTGCTGTCAGCATCGGCAGGAGGGGCAGGAGAGGCGCCAGACGTGAGATCGAACAGGGAGAGACCATCTGTCCTATCGCACTGTAGGAAAAGCTGTAGGTCATCGACCCAGACCTGAAAGTCGACAGCCCGACCCTTAGCATCAAAAGTGAGAACATTAGGAGCAGCCATGGCAGCAGTGGCAGCAGCAGGCTAGCAGTAGGAGCAGGGCGGTGGAAGAGGCGCTGCTCAAGAGTGCTCTTACCATGGCGGGAAGCGTTCCCACTAGGGAACTAGCTCTGATACCATGTGAAGAAATGAGGAATGAATGCACTGGCAAACAGGTGGGTACAAGTAGGAAAACCTAAAAGTGTTGTACCCCATATTGTCTACCCCACTACAGCCTACACAGACTATAGCATATAAGTTTGACAGCTGCCTCGCGTCGCCTTCGTTTTTTCCTCGCCTAACTTGCACCCGTCCTCGCGTTCCCAAGGCTCCCGCCTAGCTAGGTTAGCATGCTTTATTATATCGCGTCTTGCATTGTATCATTCGTCCATATATTGTCACATCTAAATTATTCGTTATTACGTGCAACTTTGCTGAACAACTAAGAACACTTTCAATTCTGTGCATTCTTCCTTTATGTCACATAACGAGTAGCTAGATTATAAACGATTCACAAGTCTGCCCCTCAATTGCAGCCGTAGCCGGTCTAGCGTGTTCGTTCCGTGCGGTTACTTGTGTTTTATCACGGTGCAAAACGGTGAAGCCTTATATCCTCTGTGCACCGTCTGGAATCGTCTTGCACCACGACGGATGAACTGTAAACGAAAGTGCTGGACCCGCACCCCGCAATGGTCAAAAGGCTCAGGTGTAGCCGATTTCAAAATCGCGGTGTTGCCATCTTCACGCCGAAACAACGCCTATACACATGATGCCCAACCCGTGCACGCGAATTTGCCCTGCACCGGATGGAAACCCTGCACCCGAGGTTTTTTCCCCAGCCAGTTGCACGCCCGTTACAAGCACGTCGCGCAAGTTGCAGTGGTTATGAACCAATAGTAACGAACAGACCGAAGTCACACTGAAGAGACTGAAGTCAAAATGTCAACGGATAGGTTACAAAAGTTTTATAAGCACCTGACGAATCCTTTTTTGCTACCTGCGAATCGACGAAATTTAGGCGAAATGTGGGTTACAGCTTATAGGCCCCCTTTACAAGGCAACCGGGAGTGGCTCAAACGGGCATCATGTGTATTACCTGGAGAATTCCGAGAATTTCTCCGCGTCAGTCGCTCCAGGTCCCTCCATTCTCACCACTCTCCTATTCGCACCAGATTAGCTAATCCAAGTATGAAGGTCAACGTCTCCGGATTCCCGACCAGCTTCGCACCACAATTCCCATTTGCTGCGCCTTTTCCCATGAGATTCTGCAACATGCGTCCGTCCTCGCAGCGCCGTTCATGCATGGCGCAGTTCAAGGAAACCCGCTTTATGATTGGCACAGCCAACAGAATCTACGGAACACCACGTTGGCCGCGACGAACGCATGCTATCACGTTACCTGGTTCCCTCACTCCTAATCCACGCCTCCGCGACTTTCCTAGCATTTCGTTTTATAAAAGTTTACTGGGATCGAGCCGCAATGCACGGAGCAGAGGGGGTTAGGTGGAAGCTCGCACGATGCCGCCGAAAGGGGACATCACGTTTTCGCTGTTTGCTTGCTCTTCACGTATTCATAGGCCAGACTATTGGCCTCTTTTGCTGCTCATTCTCTCGGCGTTCTCGTTTTCATGTCTTGTCGTTCAGCCCCACCCTTGATGTCAAAGGCGATTCTGAGCGAAAGACTCAGGGAGTTCTTTCATGTACGCGCTTTCACTTCTGCAAAGCTCCGTATAGCGAGGCACGCGCGCCATTGTTGCAGCTAGTCGTTGGAACCGTCTAACCGTTGGACCCGACGTAACGTTGAGAAAGTGGTATGGTTTTGGATAATTTCTTGGAGGCGACATCTGCGAGCCATCTGCAACAATAAGAAGGGCCGTCCTTGAATTCGAGGGACTCCACATCACATGGCAGGGAAGGGTGCAGCCGTGATAGCACGGGGTTGGCAGCTGGAGCAGCTAGTGCTGACGTGGAGCATTGAAGACATCTTTAACGATGAGCTGCTACAAGAGAAGGTGAGGCACCGAGAAGGCTGACACCGTGGGGTGACGTGTGACTCGCGAGTTCATCTTGATACCTTTCACTGCTTGAATCGCGTGACCATGGTCCACACCGAGATTCGTTTTCTTACCATACAGGCTATAGACCTGATCCACGGTCAGGTTCTATCTAGCATGTCCGTCTGCTCCCATTGGAACGTGATCCATGACTTACCATTACCACCCACACAAATCTGGGTCTCTCTCGTTTTTCATGATCTCTTGCGGATCTGTCCTGTGAGTGCTACAGGTGCGGCCCATACCATCCACCTTCGCGGATGTACCCTCGTACCTGTCTGCCTTCCGCTGGCCCCTGCTGGAGGAGTGCCGTGCAGGGCTCAAGCGCGGCCTTGAGCAGCTGTCTGCCACCGCCTCCACACGGGTCGTGGTCAGAGCGGTGCAGAGGAGTGGTGATCGGCGGGCAGCGAGAACGGATGTATGTGGTGAGGTGGAGAGGGATGACTGGCAGCAGCAGTCTGTGAGTTACTTCGGTGATGACGGCTGCCAGGGCGAAGTGCGTGGGAGTTCAGTGCACAGTAGTGCACCGGATGAGATAGAACCACCGTGGTGCATGGCGCCACATGGCCAACCAACTGGTCGGTGCAGAGGCCAGTTGGTAGGCGCAGGGAAGGCACACTCAGAGCTGGCGTGCTGTGATACGGAGGGATTCTGCTATGTGCGCTTTGAAGTGCAGCAGCAGCAGCCTGCAGGGGGCGCGGGGGCAGCAGCGAGGCTGCAGTGGGGAGGTGCAGCGAGGCTGAAACCCACAGATGTGGTGTTGCTGTCCACTGTAGCTCCCTCTGGCCCTGCAGACCTGCTCTGCCCGGGGGTGCTGTATCGCCTTGCTGTCCTTCTTGTGGAAAGAAACTCGTCCGGGGAGGATGGAGATGACAATCGCTGTTTCCGGGCCAAAATATGCACTCCAGAGGGTTCCCCTGAGTATCAGGGCATGGTTGGGGCAGCATGGTATGTGACCTTTTTGGGTAGCTTGGCGACACCGCAGCGTGTGTGGGGTGCTCTGCATGACCCGGTGCTTGAGGTGGGGGAGCTAGGAAGGGGTGGCGCAGGCACAGTGGAGGAGGGGATGGAGGGCGATTGGAGGCGGAGGATGTTCAGGGAACTGCTGTGCTTGGAGCAGAGGCCGGGGAATGGTGGGCTAAGGGCGGGAATGAAGAGGGGAGGCGGAGAAGAGAGAGAGGTGAGGCAGCATGGAGAAACACTTCATGCAATAATTTTCACATTGAAAGTTGACTTGTGATGTCATTTGCCTTCTTCAACGCCATATTGTTCTCCTTACTTTTATTTTCTACCTGCGTGCTCCTCCCTGTGGCTTGTCAGAGCGCCTCCACATTTATGCCAGTGCTTTCTATCACTCCAGAAGACACTCCGCACCTCCTGCAAGCTGTTTCTCAATTCTGCACATCACGCCGACTCAACCATCCCCAGCGATCAGCAGTCCTTGCTTGCCTTAGGGGGCTGCTCTCAGCCACCACCGACGCTGCTCGTACCAGCAACTTCTTCTTTCCTCTTGGCCCCATTTCGCCCTTCTCTTCGTCCTCATCCTTCTTGTCCTCCTCCTCTCTCTTCGGTGCTGCTCCTCCTCTGCTGCAGCTCGTGCAAGGCCCGCCCGGCACAGGAAAGACTCACACGCTTTCTGTGCTCCTCTCGGTCGCGCTCGCTCTCGGTGTTCGCACCCTCGTCTGCGCGCCCACCAACGTGGCCGCAGCTGAAGTTGCCAGGCGAATGCTGCGCCTCGCTATGTCCCCCGACACTTCCTCCCACTTCCCAGGCTTCTGCCAGGCACAACAGCAGCAGCAGCAGCGGCACGGATGGTCGTCCCAGTTGGAAAAGTCGTTCTCGACTGGAGGGCAGCTGCGCGTTGGAGATATCGTCCTGCTGGCGAGTGAAGACAGGCTGGCGGTAGACCCAGAGCTGGATTTGATTCTCCTGGGGGAAGGGAGGAGGAGGGAGCCCGGGGTATTTCCGAAGCGGAAGGGGTGTGTGTGCCGTGGACGGGTAGCGCGGCTGCTGGGAGCTTTGTCTTTGCAGTCAGGCTGGAGGGCGTCTGTGCTCACTCTGATGAGCTTTCTTGAGAATTCAGCGGATGAAATGAGCCGGGTCCACCGGGCACACTTAAAGATGCTGGAGATGAGGATCAAAGAGGATCTGGGTTGGAAAAACAGCAAGACGCAAAGCAAGAAAGGGACAGAAGGCCTTCCGAATCTGCTTGAGTTCTTCCAGGAGCGTGTGGCTCAGCTCATTGACCCTGCTTTGGAGGGCGCGGTGAGCTTGGCTCACCATCTGCCGTCCGCCCTTTTGCCAGAGCGCGAGCGTGTGCTGCTGCTGCAGGCGGGCGAGCTGTTGGCAGCCTTGCGGCACCTCCTGCTTTGCCCAGGGCTCTCATCTGATGCCGTACTAAGCTGGCTTGATGGGTCACATACAGGGGAGGAGGATGATTTCGAGTTCAGCATCTCATCAGTCCTACAGGAGACTGCTGTGCTTCTTGCTCCTTTTGAGAATGTCGACAGGGGTGGCGGAATTAAGGATTGCTCCAGCTGGGCCGGCAGGATGCTTAGGTTGGGAACAAGGGGATCCATCAACAATCAAGCCGCCGCAAGCGCTACTACCAGCACCAGTGAGTCTTTTGCCATAAGCAACGACTCCACTGCTGCCAGCAGCTCAACCAGGGATGCGCGCATCTCTCTCCCGCAAGCCGAGTGTCTCTTCCACTCCATCCGCCGCCACCTGAAGCACATCGCCAAGCAGAGCCCTGCCTTCCACATCCCCACCCTCAGCAGCAACCCATCAGCTGCCACCGTGGCCACTCAGTGCGTGGCAGGTGCACGCCTCGTCCTCTCCACCGTCTCCTCCTCTGCCCGCGCTCTCGTCCGCTGCTCGGGCCACTTTCCACTGCTGCTGCTGGACGAGGCGGCTCAGCTAGTGGAGGCGGAGTCCCTGGTGGCCCTGCAGGCGCGCGGGCTGCGCTATGCCGTGCTGGTGGGGGACCCCAAGCAGCTGCCTGCTACCGTCATGAGCAAGGTCAGTGGGTGGGCCCGGCTTTAGAAGCGACGTGGGTGGTAGGCGTGGATAGTGATGTTGGTTGGCCGTAGCATAGGCGGATTGGTGGCCAGACTCTTGAGAATTCTGAAACATAATTCACAAAGATGAGGTTGCTGGAGGAAACAATCATGTCTGTGTATGGGGGTGTGTGCACGTATCAAGGGCACGCTCATGCATGAAAAGTGGGACCACTAGTCCGGCCCACCTACCCTAGAATTGGCTTGCATATCGCACCTGCAAATCCAATCCCTATCATCATAACCTATACGCCTCCCATGCCTCTAATCTGGACATTGACCCGCAGGTGGCAGTGCAAGGCCACTACAACCGCAGCCTGTTTGAGCGCCTGCAGAGCACCGGGTGGCACGCAGAGCTGCTGAGCGTGCAGTACCGCATGCACCCGGACATCAGCCGCTTCCCCTCGCACGGCTTCTACCACGGCCGCATCGAGGACGGCCCCAACGTGTGCCAGCCCTCGCACTGCCCTCCGCACCTGCATCTGCTGTTTGGCCCGTACAGATTCTTCCATGTGAGGGGGCGTGAGGAGAGGGACTCTGCGGCTGTGGATGCAGGCAGCCGCAGCGTTTCCAATTCGGTGGAGGCTGCCGTTGTGATTGCTCTGCTCACGCGACTCTCCACAGGTGCACTCTGAGCTCTGATCTCTGCCATGCGTTAATCCCCTCCCCTTGACTGTGGTCCTTTTTCGCCTTACCCCTCCTGCCTGGTATGGCATCTTAGAAATCCGCAGTCTCCATTCTCACCCCGTGTGCAACTATGCAGCATCTCAGAAATCTCATTTCTTAGTCGAGTCCGCTTCACTCCCATTGCCACAACCCCACATGGCCACGTGGCACATACGGGTGGGCATTGACGTCTCGTTCACAATGTGCAGCATGTCAAGGCAAGGAGGGCGGGGGGGCTGTGAAGGTGGGGCTCATCTCGCCGTACGCCCGCCAGGTGGAGCTGCTGCAGCGCGCCGTGGAGGCCAAGCCGTGGCCCTCCCTGACTGTGGAAGTTAACACAGTAGACGGGTTCCAGGGCAGGGAGTGTGACGTTGTTGTCGTCAGCACTGTTCGCTCCAACAGCTCGAGAAGCATCGGATTTGTCGCGGATCCTAGGCGGTATGTTAGGATCTGCGTGGTTTTCCGTAGTCCTGTTTTCGCTGTTGCTGGTTTTCCTTCTCTTGTGCATAACATTGTAGGAGTCAAATTGACTGTTAGGAATCATTGGCACCTGATGTCTACGTCGTTGTTTACGGCCTGACAAATGGCAAGCTTGGATTTCACACCCTGCTTGTTTTTGTAAGTTTCCATCACTGTCTTTTTTCGTTTTTGTTATTTCACATCCTGTTACATTTGCATGTCTTTCCTTTTGTTCACTGTCAACCACCCCTCTCCTCCCCCCCCTCCATTGTTCCTGACTCAACCTCTTTCTTTCTTTTTGCTTCCTCCTGCCACAACCCTGGGCGAGCCAGTCTGAACGTGGCCATCACCCGTGCGCGCCATGCTCTGTGGGTGGTGGGTGACGCACACACGCTGCAGAGGGGAGACAACATGTGGGCGCAGCTGGTGCAGGATGCGGAGAGGCGCGGGTGCCTGGTGGAGGCTGGGAGCGATGAAGGACTGGCAAGAGCTGTGGAGAGGCGGTGGGTGCAGGTGGGGGAAGCGCAGCAGCTGCTGAAGCCCCATTCAGGGCTCTGGGTCGGCCTGCACTGGGAGGTGAGTTATGGGAGGGTGATAAGCTAGGTGAGCACAGGGGGGCATGAGGAAAGGAGCTGTGCACGGGGTGGGGTACGTGATCAGGGGAGCTTAGGTAAAGGTATTTCTTCAGTTTAATCAGACCACATTGGGAGAAATTTTCGTTGCAACCATAGCAGGCTATGGTTCGATGGCCGTTGGACTTATGTGGACTTTTACGATCAGTGACAGTGCAGTGCTGGTTGCAGATTTGACCCGCGCTGTTCTGTGTGCACTCTCTCCCCTCCTTTCCCTCCCTTCCCATCTTCTGCCCCCCGTTTTCTTCTCTCTGCACCTTTACGTCGTGCCTCCCGGCCGCCTGCTGCCCACTACCGGCAGGCGGAGTTCAGCCAGGAGTTTCAGCGCAGCATGCGGCAGGCGCCGTCGTTGGAGGTGATCAATGCAGTGCGGCGCCTCATGCAGGGCCACCGCCCGCAGTGGGACACGCGGCCGCGGCACGAGCTCAGCGACCCGCGCTACCACGACATCATTCACGTGCAGCCCGTGGGGCGGGCCTTTCTCATCTGGACCGTTGACATCTCCCAAGAGACTTATCAGCAAGTGAGCACCTTCCCATCCAGGGCTCAGGGGTTTGTGTGGTTCAATATACGGTTTTGGGATGTGCTGGTGTAGCCTGTCCATCCTGTGTGCTGAATTTTGAAGGGCCTCAAACACAGATTCATTCCATGTAGTTGTTCCCTTGTCTTGTGTAGGCCAATTCTCTGTGTGGTGCTTCCTCCTCTTGCAAAAGCTTCCTGATTACTGCCTCTGCCACTTCAGTAGAACTAACGGGCTTTTGTGTCTTACTGAAGCTTGGGCACCTGCGCCGCCGCTGCGCACCGCACCCCCCCTGGTGGCTGGCTGGCAGAGCTTTCTTCATTGCATGGCGGACGGCGGACGCTAAGCTACCCATTTCTCACTGCCTTCCTCTCAACTTCACTTCCCTCTTATCTCGCTTCTCCACCCCACACTCCCCCCCCCACATGCCCCTGCCCTCCTCACTTGCAGATAATCAAGGTATGGGACGTGGTGCCAGAGCGCGGGGTGCTGCCGTGGCTGCACCGCCTGGCGAAAGGCCTGGCCTCATTCTCAGACCAGCGCCTTGACTGCTGCGCCGCAAGCGCACCGGGCTCCGCTCGCAGGGTGCGCCCTCGCCAGTTCAGCAGGCATGCTCCTTTCGAGTGGTGGAGGGGGCAGCAGATCCACCAACTGCCAGGTGCTGCATTTCTCTGTGAATCCGAGTTGTTAATAAAATATGAACTTGCTCGGTACAGTTTGTTTTTAGAATATTCTGGTGTGAGTGATGGGATATAGGTAACCTCCATCAGCACGACAAAGCTCCACCTTCAATTCAGTTATTTGTTTCCGAAGCGCCCTTACCTTGTCTCAAACCTTCCCCAATTTATCTGTTCCCTCTTTTTCCCTCTCATGTTTTCCCAGCCTCACACCCAGAATTAGCTGCCATTCCGGAGCGAGCACCCGTGGATGAAAACGTGCTGCTGATGAAATTCTACCCGCTTTCTCTAGGCTCCGCCCAGCACCTGATGGCAGCAGTTCCGGGGGAGTGGCTGTTCAAGCTGAACGAGCAGCAAGCTGAGATAGTCCACTCCAACTGCACTGCTTTTGTGCTCGGCCGATCAGGTGGGCGTGGTCATGCTTGATTTCTTAAACAAGGGTGTGACTGCACAGCAGTCACGACCAATTGTGTTAGGCCGGTCAGTTGCTTGTAGCAAGCAGTCCGCGCTTCCTATGTCGCACCAGTCTTTTTGACCTCTTTCAATCGCAAACCGAACCTCCTCCAATCCCCTCCGCTTCTGTTAACGCCACTGTTTGAGTCAGCCAAGGAGACTGAGCTCCAAAAGGAGTGAATAATAACCTACGCATGCTCTTCCTCCTCGCTCGCCCATCCCTAAACCCTGTGGCTGGCCCAGGCACGGGCAAGACGACAGTGATCACCCACCGCCTGCTGCTGCTGGAGCACACGTTCCGCCGCGCCATGGGCGAGAGGCGCCTTCTCACTCATGCGGCCACTGGACGCAGCAGTGCCTGGCCGGGCAGAGAGCAGGGCGACTGGGGGACATGTGAGGAGATTGAGGAGAGTGAGGGAGACGAGGATGAAGGGAAGAGTGGGGGGGAGGGAGAGGAGGAAAGGGGTGGACTGCGCCAGGTGGTTGTGACCCCGAGTGCACGCCTGTGTGCTGCTATTAAGCACTATGTGAACAAGGCCACGAGGTGAGTGGGGCCTGGCCATAGGTGCTGTGCCATGAAGCTCTTTGAAATGCGCTAGCCATTGAACTCGTTGCAACCTGTCCCCTCTTCAGATCTCCTCTCCTGTTCCCTATATTCCCCCTGTTTGTCTCCTTCCATTGTGCTGTCTTTCTCGTCACTGGCAGGACTATGCTGCAGGCAGAGGAGCATGGCGGTGCCTGGTTGCCCAATGGACGCGCGGGGAGAGGGGAGGGAGAGAAACAGTCGCCACCGGCAGGGGAGGAGGGGCAGGATGAGCTGCTGTTGTTGGAGGAAGCAGAGGAGAAACTTCTGGGTGACCTACCAGAGGCTCTGGATTCAGTGGCGCCAGCTGCCTTCCCTCTTGTACTCACATTCAAGAAGCTTCTCAGCATGGTGAATGCCACGCTGTCACACCCGTTCCAGATGGAAGGGAGCAGCACGGGCAGTGGATGGGGCCGAGGAGGGTCCATGGGAGGTCGATGGAGTGGTAATGGCTTGCCTGGTGGCATGATTGCAGTGTGGGATGAGGAGAATGATGAGGATGACTATAGTGAGGATGAAGATGAGGAAGAGGATGAGGGGGGGCTGTTTAGTGTACAGAGGTGGCGTGGGGGCAGGCTGCCATGCGTCGGCGGCAGCACTAGAGCCAGCACCACTGGAATAGCCACCAGCAGCAGCATTCTCAGCAGAACATGTGGCAGCATCAAAAGTAGCAGCGGCACTGCTGCCGCATGGGCTTCAGAGGTTGACTACGAGCGCTTTGAGGCAGTCTACTGGCCGCGGCTCAACGCAGCAACCACCCGTCATCTCGATGCGTCCGCGGTGTTCAAGGAGATCTTCTCCCACATCAAGGGCTCCCTGCACGCGCTCAGGACACCGCACGGCCGCGTGTCTCTGCAGGACTACGTGCTGCTGGCGCGCACGCGCACGTCCAGCTTAAACGAGGAGCAGCGCGCAGCCGTGTATGGGCTCTTTTTGCAGTACGAGAGGCTGAAGCGGCAGAGAGGGGACCACGACATGTGCGACTACGTGTTCCACGTGTACAAGCAGCTGGAGAAAGGGGCTACAAGGCTTTGGACCCCCGCTGCGGCTGCTACAGGCTCTGCCTATGGTAGCACCAGCTCTCCTCACCATGGCAGCCGGCCTGGCGTTTCGTCAACTGCAATCGGGACAAGCAGGGCTGTTGGCGGTGGGGGGAAAGTCGTTGCAGGGCCACCATTTCAGTATGTGTATGTGGACGAGGTGCAGGACCTGACCCAGGCACAGATTGCCATGCTGCAGTTCCTCTGTTCCAATGTCGCCTGCGGGTTCTTCTTTGCCGGTGACACTGCCCAGACCATCGCCCGCGGTGTGGACTTTCGATTCCAGGACATCCGACGGCTCTTCTACGAGCTGTTTCTGGGAAAAGGGACGGCTGCTTCTGTTGCAGACGGGGTGGAGAGGAGCGAGGAAGTGGATGCAGGGAGAGGGGAGGCTGGTGGTGGGGTTAGTGGCAGAGAGATCGTGGAGAGTGGGGGGGTCGATGAGGCGAAGGAAGGAAGGTGCGGAGGAGAGAAGGGGGGTGTGTGCGAGAAGCAAGGGAGGTGGGCGAGGGCAATAGAGTCGCGCGGGAGGCAGAGGCAGTCGGCCAGGGGGAAGAGGATTCAGGAAGAGGTTCGAGGGGAGGGAAGCGCAGGGAAAGAGGCCACAGTTTTGAAACCCTGTGCGGCCTTTTCAAAGGGTGGCGCAGGCACTGGGATAATCACAGCAGAAGCAGCTATTGACAAGGTTGCAGGCACCAGGAATGGGGGAGAGGAGGATGCACGCAAGGGCCAAGTGGAGGATCGTTCGTCTTGCACTGAGATGCCAGACCTGCTCTTCCTCTCGCAGAACTTCCGGTCGCACAGCGGCATCGTGCGAGTGGCAGACAGCGTGGTGCGCTTGCTGCTTCACTTCTTCCCCCACTCTGTCGACCGCCTGCAGCCCGAGTTCAGCCAGCAGCAGGGCGAGCCGCCCGTGTTCCTCCAGTCCACCGGCAGCCGCGACCGCGTGGCACAGCTGTTTGGAAAGCGCGGGGGCATTGGAGGAGGTGGATGTGAATTCGGCGCCGAGCAGGTATGAATGTAGGGGAGGGTGCAGCTGCCCCTAAATGCTGAATTAGGCACTGAGCAGGGGAGGATGGGTATTGGGTGCCGAGGGGAGAAAAGGGGAAGGTAAGAGAGAAGGCGGAGCGTCGGAGACAAGGTACGGATGGAGTTTGGAAAAAAACGGTGGGGGGAAGTTAGGCAAAGGGGAGGGGTAGGGAAGGGGGTTCAAATGGGGAGAAAGGAAGCAAAGGGGGGCAATAATGAAAAGCGAGTCACGTGCCAGCTTGAAACGTGCCAGCAATTTAATATATATAGTTTTTTTTTTTTTTTGTGCAACCACTCGTGCCAGGTGATTATAGTGCGAGACGCAGCGCGGCGAACGGAACTGGTGGAGCGCACTGGCTTGCGAGGGCTCGTGCTCAGCGTGCATGAATGCAAGGGGCTGGAGTTCCAGGTGCGCCAGCCAGTGGACCAGTGCAGTGCAGTGCGGTGCGGTGCGGTGCGGTGCGGTGCTGTGCAGTGCAGTGCAGTGCAGAGACGATAAAGAGTTGTCTCGTCTGACTACCCATGCATGTTATGTCATGCTCGTTTATGCTGTTCCAAGTAGCCTATATCCGCCCTTACTATGCAACTCATGCGACCACCATTCCCTGTCCAGTAGTTTCCTGTTCTGAATATTTAGGTATTCAGCTAGATCAGTTGCTGAGTTGCCTCTCCATCCACCTCTTTCCACCCTTCGACCTCTTCACAAACAGGATGCTCTGATCTACAACTTCTTTTCTCACTCCCTGCTCGCATCGGGTTGGCGCCTGCTGTATGAGTACATGCGGCAGCACCACCTCATACCCTCAACCGCACAAAGCAGCTCCTCCAGTCAGTGGCAGTGCCCTGCCTTTGACCCAAGAAGGTGATGCCGTCCTTCATCGTAGTGATGTTCAGATGGGTGGTTCTGTCTTGTACCGCCTTTGTTGACTCGTTCAACAAAATACATGGGTTTGACAAAAACTGAGCACGAACGCGCCATTGCAGTGCCGACCGACACGCGTGTGTGCGCGACCAGTTGAGGCAGTGGTCCCGAGGTTCTTTCTTTCTATGAAGGCCATTTCTTTCATATGGGTTGTGTCTTGGGCTCTCATTTTGTTGGCGCGACCTCGGAACGTTTTGGAGTTGACCAAAATATAGGCTCAATCATCGCTGTGTTCTTCAAGTTGGTTGTTTGTGTGTGTTTCTGTGCCACCTTGTCGCTCCTTTCACGTTGCGTGTGCTCGCTTGGTTCCTTTCACTTGGGGTATTGCCAACTTATCTTCTCATTTCCGAATCCCCATCCCTCCCTTTCCCCCCTCCCTTTTTCCACCTCTTCTCCACCTGTCGCCCTCCCATCGCAGGCACAACCTGATGTGCAGCGAGCTGAAGCAACTGTACGTGGTGCTCACGCGAGCGCGGCAGCGGCTGTGGATCTACGAGGAGGACGAGGCGGCAAGGCAGCCGGCCATGGACCTGTGGGAGGCGATGGGGCTGGTGGTGGTGCGCCCACTGACCACCGATCTCATTGCGTCCATGCACACTGAGTCATCGCCAGAGAAATGGCACAAGCGGGGCCTCGAGGTGGGTGCACGCACGTGCATGACATGTTGTTGTTACTTCCCCAATTTCACCTCATCCTGCAGCGATCCGAGCTTTGCAAGCGTCGCACGTCATCTGCTCTCATCTGCCATTTTTCCTCTCCCTTTCCCGTCCCCACCCCATCCTTTCTCCATCTTCCATTCCGCCAAATTTCTTGGTCTGCAATTCTTTTGCTCCAGATGTTCAACGCTGGCCAGTTTGAGGCAGCAAAGATGAGTTTCGAGAGGGCGGGGGACGAGCGCAGAGCAGCAGTGGCACAGGCCGCACTGCTGCAGCAGACGGCCAAGAGGCTGCAGGGCACAGACCACTGGCGGGCCTGTCGAACCTTCCTGGAAGCCGCGCAGGCGTTTCTGGCGGTTGACCGTCCGAGGGACGCTGCAGGGTGCCTCGCCAGCGCTGGAGAGATGGAGCGAGCAGGTTACACCAGGGGGGGAAAGTGGGGGAGGGGAAGGGAGCTGGTGTGGGTGAATATGGGGGGTGGCAGGGCAGTGATAGCGTGCCAGTGCTGGAGTGTGTAGATGAAGAAAAGAACGAGATTGTGCTGAGGGTCAGAGGGCTTCGCAACAGCTCGTAATGGATGTGGGACCGTTTTCTTGATTATAAGAGCGACTCTTATGCACTGCACATGCAACCTCTCTCGCATGCTTCACTTGTTTTCCCTTTCTCTTTCCACCTTGAACTCTCCATTCATACCTCTCCTCGTGTCCATTGCCTGCCCGTCTCCTTCCCTTCTCGTCCGCTTCTCCTTCCCTTCGCCTTCCCTTCTCCTTCGCAATAATTTGCTTCTTTTTTTCCACTTTTCCATTTTCTTCCCCCTCTCTTTCTCATCAAAGCAGCTGCCACATACCGCAACATGTGCAAGCCACCACAGTGGGAGAAAGCGGCAGCATGCTACTTGCAGGCTGGAAAGGGCTCAGATGCTGCCGAGTGTCTGGCCCAGGCGTGGCTAGTGGAAGCTGTGTGCTCACAAGCCAGGCTCTACAACCTAGGCCTCTCGCTCATTCATTCCTGGCAGGCGCAGATTGCAGACGGGCTGAGAGCGGTGAAAGGGAAGGACAAGCAGGAGCAGCATCAATCGCAGCACTGGGTTAGCGGGGACATGTGTGGCAGTAGCAGCAATGGACTGGTTCCGCCTCTCTCGGTTAACTCAGCTGGAGGAGGTGGGACGTTCGCCTCTAGTTTGGAAAGCGCTCGATGGGAAGGGGAGAGCGCTCAAAAGGTTGCAAGGGAGAGCAGTACTGCTGCGTGTGCTCCAGGGGAAGGGGAGACGTGGAAGATGCGGCAGGGGCTGGTCACAAGGCTGAGTTCTGATTTCCTGTGTGACGCTGCGAAGTTTTTCTATCGGAAGAAGGATAGGGGGAAGATGATGAAGTATGTGCTCCGGTTCCCAGCCGCAGCGGAGAAGCGGCGATTTTTGGAAAGGCGAGACTTGTTTGAGGAGCTGTTGCAGGTTGAGGTGGCTGAGGGGAACTTTGAGCAGGCAGCCACAGCAAAACTGAAGAAGGGCGATATGCTGGGAGCAGCTGAAATGTTTGTTCAGCAAACGATGTGGGGCAGGGCGTTTGATTGTGCAATGGAAGCTGCCCGTGTTGCCAGCATGTGGGCGAATGGGAACAACGGGTGGCCCCTGAATTGCAGCAGCAGTATGAGGAGGGAGGGAGGTGAGGAGCAGGAGGAGGAGGAGGATAAGGAAGTGGGTGAATGCGCACAGGTGACCACAGGTAGGAACGACGGTTGGAGCTGGAGGTCAGAAGTGAGGAAATGGATTGGAAGGGGAGCAGCGGCGAGGGTTGAGGGAGTTGGGGAAGAAGGTCAAAAGAGCTGGAGTGGAGGGAGCAGGAATGCATTGGAGCTGGCGGTTGCCATCTGGCTGACACAGGAGGAAGCATCGGTGTGCAGGGGGGCAGGCATGGTAGCTGGATTTGTAACAAGGGAAGGGGAGAGAGGGTCTGGGAAGGAAGCAAGGCGTCTAGCTCGGAGTCAGCACATGGGGGGGAGTGCAGAGCAGGGAGAAGGAGCAAGGGAAGGTGAGAGGGAGGTGGATGCAGAGCAGGGGTTGGAGGCTCTGACCCTGCTGCTGCTTAGCGAGTGGATTCAACTAAAGGGTGGCACTGGGGACATGGAAACACTGTGGTGCCAGCTGACTAGTTGGGAGCGGGGTCGGAGCATTGCTGCTGAAGTGCTGTGCAGCTGGAAGGCTCTGGAGCTGAGCGTAGAGAAATTCAACTTACTTTCTCACACCACCTCCTCCCTCTCCGCTGCCCCCCCTCTCACAAGCACCGCTGCCCCTCTGCCCAACACAGAGCATCTCCCGAGCAGAATACCTGTATTGCGTCAACCGCAGCCAGTGCAAGCCAGCGTAGGTGGGTGGAGGCGGCCCTTGGGAGGAGGCGGACAACAGGGTATGCAGCAGGTGCAGCAAGGCGTGAGGAGTGAGCAGCCGAGAGATGAATCTTGGCCAGGCGGTTTCCAGCAGCTGGTGGCGCAGGTGGAGGAGGTGCAGCGCTGGTGGGGTGAGTGGAGTGAGAGGGCTGCGCGAATGCTGGCGGCGCTGCAGAGGTTGTGCAGGAGGAGAGAGGTGCCGGCAGATCAGCCCTGGCTAGATGCAGCCTTTCATTTGCTTGCCGCCACACCCCCCACTGCCTCCAGTACAGCAGGGGTTGTGTCCACAGCTGCCCACACTGCACCTCCTACCTTGGATTTGCCGACCCACTCCATCCTGGTGGGTCTGTCCTGTGCCTCCTGGCTTCTCCCTGTGCGTGCTGCCGTGACCCGCCTGCCCAATCAGGGCACTCGCGGAGAAGTAGCAAGGGAGGCTGCAGCTGAGGCGGGTGCCATTTACTGGTCCAGGCAGGTAGTGGCTGTGGTGCAAGGCTGCCTGCAGGTCTTGGACGTAGCCATGTGCAGGACGAGCGTGGCATTGCAGCAGATGGGGCGTGGAAACGAACTGATGTTGCGAGGAATGGGACGACAGCTACCAGGGCCAGTGGTGGCTCAGGGAGGATGCAAGGTTCATAATTTTCAGCAGCAGCAGCAGCAGGGGGCTGCGAGGGAAGGGATATCCCATGCAGCGTTACTGCGTCTGCAGTGCAAGTGGCTCGTGCAGTACCTTGAGATGCTGGAACGAGCCCTGCAGTGCTGCAATGGCGCCACCAAGGCCTCTCAACGGCCCCATGGTCACTCCACAACGGACCGGGTCTCATCGAAAGAGGGGAATGGTCACAAGTCGGCAGAGGCACGAGAGCTGGAGGGCGCTGCGAGCATGTTGGAGAGGCTGCAGGACAGCCTGGCCCGGCGCCTGCTGCAGCATGTGATGCCGGTGGGCGCGCCCCTTCCCCGTGACGTGGCGCTGCTGGCTGCGGAGGAGCGAGCACAGGAGAGCACTGCCTTTGCGCTGCACTGCTGGGCTCTCAGGCTGCTTGCTCAGTGCGTGGATGGGGCCACACGGCAGGACCCGGTCACGCGGGACAAGGAAGGAGTCGTGTGGGGTTCAATTGGATTGGGGTCTGACATGCATGAGCCCGTGCTTTTGGCTCTGTTGGGTGACTTGCTGCTAGTGCTGCCGCTGTTGGGCACCCGATGGGTCCACAGGCATGGCGGGGAGCTGCTGCAGAGGCAGTCCAGCCTGCCTCCTGTGCACGCTGCGGTGCTGAGAGCGGTGGTGCATGAAGATGCCGTCCGGTTGTTCTTGGAGCAGCGGCACAGCCATGGCGCTGCCGTCACTCTTGCCAGCACCGAGTCGGTGGCTGCTCTCCTGGAGGCGCTCACTGTGAGTCTGTGTTCGCTGTTCGGTGGCTGCTCTCCTGGAGGCGCTCACTGTGAGTCTGTGTTCGCTGTTCACTGCTGCTGTTGTCTCTTGTGCTGCAGCTGCTGCGTCTTGACACGTATTTCCTTCGTTTTACATTGGTTCTAACCATTTGAGTTCCCTCAGCTTCTGCACTTTGATTTGTCGTTTCCGCTCTGCTTCTTCTACTCCTCTGCAGAGCCGCAATCCCGAGCAACCAAGCTGCGATATCTTCCTCCTCCTTACTGCCGCTGTGTACGTGCTTGAAAGGGAAGTGACTTACGTGTGAGCAGCCATCACGAAGCTCCGAAACTTCATCATCCCCACCTCCCTTGCTGCTCTCCACTTAGATAGCCACCACGCCTCTGCTCTCTGCACCCTCCTGCTCCAGTCACCATTCAAAATCTCTCCAGGCAGTGAGTATCAGCTCAAATCCCAGCTGACTCGCCTGCATGGCGTTATCAAGTCCCTTCTTCAGCAGCAGGGCGCATTACAGCAGCAGTGGGGGTCAAGTTCCGATGCTGCTGGTGACTCTACCCCTCACTTTCTCCGTCTACTCACCCTCCTCCTTGCTTCATCAGCCAATGTCCCGGCTTTCCACAACAGCACGGCTGCCTTCCTCCGTGACCTTTGGCGCTGCAACGGGTCGCTGTTGCTTCAGCTTCCGCATCTGATCCGTACCCAATTCTCTGCTGTTTTGGGCGGAAATCGGCCTAACCCCAATGCATTGCACGACTGCTTTTCGTGGGCCATGTTCAAACTGGGTGGCCCATGGATTGTGCTCCGGAGAAAAGGCTCTCCCTTTATTCATAGGCACCAATGGATTGTGAAGCTGAAAAGGTTCAACGTTGAGAAGAGGCTGGTTATGAGTGCAACTCAGGGGGGTGCAGCAAATGTGCCCCATTCGCCTCAAGCAAATGCGAAAGAGGGGTGGGTGCCTGGTGTGGATACTCGTCCCCTAGAGTACAGCGCATTCTCTCTGGTGGAGCTCACAGGACGCGAGTCTGCAGGACGTGTTGGTGGAGGTGCGATTGCTGACTGGGAGGCGGAGGGTGGGGAGGGAAGAGAGGAAGAATGGGAGGAGGAAAGGGAGGGCGCCAGCGGAGAGAGATCTGAAGAGTGGGGCGGAGCTGAGGGGTTGGTCGCGGAGGAGGGACTGGAGCCGGAGGAGGAGGGGGAGGAAGAGGTGGAGGGGGAGTTTGACGTGGAGGGGATGGCGGAGGAAAAGGGGAATGAGGGTGTTGATGCCGAGTCCGGGTTTGAGAGGGGGTGCGGGAAAGAGAGGGAGGGAGATGATCGAGAGGAGGTGGACGGAGTGAAAATTGCTGTTCGTGTCACTGCAACCTTAAGGCAACTCCTTCTAGAGGTAGGTACACTTTATTGAGGTGGGCCATACACTATATTTGGGTGGGCCAATGAGCTATCATGGTAATGCACACAGTTTATTCTGTCTGTAGAGGTGTGCAGAATGGACACCACAGCCTTCGTTTCCCTCACTAGTATTCTTAAGATACGATTGCGCTTGTTGCATTCTCTGGTTCCTTGCCTCCGCCCTATTCATAACCTGCCGTCCTACTCATTCCACGCTATTCTCGTACCATCTCTCACAACATTCTCCCACTTCCCCTTCCTTCCTGTCAGGCAAGGGAGCGGCTTCAGCAGGAGCTGCCACCACTGGAGAGGAGTCGCAGGGAGGCAAAGAGGGGCCTCAGTGTGCTGCTGCACACGAGCAGCAAGGCTGTGAGGGAGTTCTACATCACGGAGTATCTGGACCACGCCTCCCCTCTCGAGGTCAGTTCCACATCAACATGCTTCGGTGACTTAACCGCAGGTCGCTCGTTGGTTTCTGAGAAATTTCAGAAGCTGAATGGGAAATGCATTCCCTGACCTGAAGGGATGTTCTATTGAGCCAGCCGTGGGATGCTGAGCCTCAGTGGCCGTGTTGGGCTTGATGTGCAAGCACATGGCGTGCCCAAAAGGGAGGGGAAGTTTTCAGCGCTGCTGGTGCTGGTGGAGCAGGTTGGCGAGGTTGGCTGCTTGGTGAGTGGACGGGCGGCACGGCACGCCCGCCAGGTGGTTGGCATTGAGTTGAAGTTGGCATTGAGGTGAAGTTGGCATTGAGGTGAAGTTGGCATTGAGGTGAAGTTGGCATTGAGGTGAAGTTGGCATTGAGGTGAAGTTGGCATTGAGGTGAAGTTGGCATTGAGGTGAAGTTGGCATTGAGGTGAAGTTGGCATTGAGGTGAAGTTGGCATTGAGGTGAAGTTGGCATTGAGGTGAAGTTGGCATTGAGGTGAAGTTGGCATTGAGGTGAAGTTGGCATTGAGTTGAAGTTGGCATTGAGGTGAAGTTGGCATTGAGTTGAAGTTGGCATTGAGGCGAAGTTGGCATTGAGGTGAAGTTGGCATTGAGTTGAAGTTGGCATTGAGTTGAAGTTGGCATTGAGGTGAAGTTGGCATTGAGTTGAAGTTGGCATTGAGTTGAAGTTGGCATTGAGGTGAAGTTGGCATTGAGTTGAAGTTGGCATTGAGTTGAAGTTGGCATTGAGTTGAAGTTGGCATTGAGGTGAAGTTGGCATTGAGGTGAAGTTGGCATTGAGGTGAAGTTGGCATTGAGGTGAAGTTGGCATTGAGGTGAAGTTGGCATTGAGTTGAAGTTGGCATTGAGGTGAAGTTGGCATTGAGTTGAAGTTGGCATTGAGGCGAAGTTGGCATTGAGGTGAAGTTGGCATTGAGTTGAAGTTGGCATTGAGTTGAAGTTGGCATTGAGGTGAAGTTGGCATTGAGTTGAAGTTGGCATTGAGTTGAAGTTGGCATTGAGGTGAAGTTGGCATTGAGTTGAAGTTGGCATTGAGTTGAAGTTGGCATTGAGTTGAAGTTGGCATTGAGGTGAAGTTGGCATTGAGGTGAAGTTGGCATTGAGTTGAAGTTGGCATTGAGTTGAAGTTGGCATTGAGGTGAAGTTGGCATTGAGGTGAAGTTGGCATTGAGGTGAAGTTGGCATTGAGGTGAAGTTGGCATTGAGGTGAAGTTGGCATTGAGGTGAAGTTGGCATTGAGTTGAAGTTGGCATTGAGGTGAAGTTGGCATTGAGTTGAAGTTGGCATTGAGGTGAAGTTGGCATTGAGGTGAAGTTGGCATTGAGTTGAAGTTGGCATTGAGTTGAAGTTGGCATTGAGGTGAAGTTGGCATTGAGTTGAAGTTGGCATTGAGTTGAAGTTGGCATTGAGGTGAAGTTGGCATTGAGTTGAAGTTGGCATTGAGTTGAAGTTGGCATTGAGTTGAAGTTGGCATTGAGGTGAAGTTGGCATTGAGGTGAAGTTGGCATTGAGTTGAAGTTGGCATTGAGGTGAAGTTGGCATTGAGGTGAAGTTGGCATTGAGGTGAAGTTGGCATTGAGGTGAAGTTGGCATTGGATTGAACCACCTGGCGGTCGTGCTGTGCCGGCCAGGTGATGAAGGGTCCTGTCGCAAGGGGGGCTCCTTTAGCTCTCTCAACAAGACTTTCTGCGAACAACCGGAGGAGGAACGAGAGTACCCCAGGGATTCTGCAGCCATAGGTCTCACCAGCCATGCCGTTGAACCTGGCCCAGTCGCTCCGGACCACAAGTGGTTATCCCTGCCGTGGCGGGCTGCTGCCCTCTGGGGTCTTGGTGTGAAAGGGGGTCCATGACCTCAAACCTCGCGCTTCTCCGCAGGTTTGAGGTTCACCAGTATCCTACAAGTTTGAGGCTTGCTGCCAATGGCACTGGTGAAGTTTGAGGGAAGGTGGTGGATGGAGATATTTGCGAGCAGGTTTACTGCTCATGATAAGAGTCTGGCGTCCTTGTGCACGTGAGGTGTATCCCGCTTCCACGTGTATGCGAGTGAACTCATCGTGGAGAGCATGTTGGATCTCGGTGCGGCCCTCCACCTCCCTCCCTCCATCTCTCCCTCCCTCCCACCCTCTATCATTTGCTCTGTTTACCTCCCTCCCTCTTTCTCTCCACCCTCCCCCCCCTTCCGCTTCCCTTTTTCCTCAATATCACCCTGCGTGCCTGCATGGGCAGGTGAAAGCGTCGGCGTTTCTCGCCCTGGTGCACAGTGCAGTGCTAGCCATGAAGGCTCGCCTCGGCACAGCACAGGATGGTGGGGCGCAGACAGGGGGCCGGGACCCCTGGGAGCAAACAGGGGGGTACGGAGGAATGAAGGGGTCCATGGGTGTTATTGCATTGGAGGAGCAAATTGAGAAGGAGGAGCAGTTACTGGATGACGCGGCAGATGCTGCGGAGGAGCTCGAGGCTGCCATGGCTGTGCTGCACCATGCGTATGTGATGAAGCACAAGATGTATCCATACTGCGCTGCCTTCCTTGCTGTACCCTTTTTGCTCTTTCTGCTGCTACTTATGCTGATGCTACCATGCAGAGTTCTTATTGTGTTGTACTGCCCGCTAGCTTGTTTGATTGCGTGAAGTGGGTAGCCAAGTGAAGGGAACCCGAGGGGTTGTATCTGTGTGGGGCATGACAGGAGTGAGGACCGCGGTGGTGGCTGTCAGTAACTGTTGCAATGCTTTCTGTGCATCCCCTCGTTTTCTCCCTGTCATAATTTCTCATGGTTACATCCTCTACATTTTACGTTCCCAACCTCTGATGCTTGTGTACTGCTTCCTCTCTGTGATGCAGGCACCCAGGCCACTCGTCTGCATCAGTATCATGGCTACACCGCAAAGCCATACATCCTCTATCGACCCTCCTCTCACTAAAGCGGCGCTCTCTGGAGCAGCCTTTGAAGGAAATATTGTCCTCTCGCAGTACACAGCCAACAGCCAGTGTATGGGAGGAGTGACAGTAAGGGGAGGAGTAAGGTAAACAGCTGTCAGTATTGGTGGAGAGGTGGTGGTGTTGGGTTGGGAAGGGGCAGAGGGTTTTGAAAGTGGAGGAGCAGTGTCGCGACGCGAGATAAGGTGAATGATCGGCGAGTGTATATACTGTATATTTGTACAGTCCACTGAAGAAGTGAGTACCGAGGAAAGGGGAAAGCGAGGCAAGGATGATGGGTTGGGGCAGGATAAGGTAACATGTCGGCGGAGGGCCTCATGAGGGGAAGAGGTGTTGGGCTGAGAAAAGCCCTTAGGATCTTTGCAGGACTAAACTCAGAGTAGGAACAATGTAATAGCGGAAGCGTTTTCTGATAAGTCTGCGAACCACCTTGCGCTGGTCAGGGCCCAAAATAGGTTTAGGCTCACTCTTTCAAATCAGGGTGGCAGGCCCTCCGTACCCTGACTGTTAGGGTAATCTTCGTGGTACACTGTTTACAGCAGTGTAAAATTTTGGGTACACTGATTTCAGCAGGGTATGTTTTCCGGTACACTGATGCATTAGCAAATACTTAGAAAGGTGAGAACAGTCGAACGACGAACGTGAGAAAGGTGAGAGAATGGCGAGAGGCTGAGAGACCCCTTGGGAATCACAAAGCCCAAGAAGGCCCAAGCAGCACGGTTTCCGCGCACCGCGGGAAGTACATGGCAGAGGCTGCAACACCACAATCACTGCCACGTGGTGCAAACGACAGCACGAAACCCACCTGTCGCGCATTTTGGCACCGTTGGCAGTGAGCGATGCTTCGGGAACAACCTACGTTGCTTGGA